CGGGGGCAGTTACCTGGCGGGGGCAGTTACCTGGTGGGGGGGAGGGGGGCTGGGGGGGCAGGGGGTGTCGTGGCAGAGAAAGGGGCCAGTTACCTGCTAGGCAGGGGTGTAGTGGGGGAGGGGAGGGGCAGTTACCTAGCCGGGGGGGGACAGAGCCAGGGGTACAGTGGCGGGGGGGCAGTTACCGGGTGGGGGGAGGGGCGGGGCGGGACAGGCCGGGGGTGTAGTGGGGGAGGGGAGGGGCAGTTACCTAGCTGGGGAGGGGGTGCAGAGCCAGGGGTACAGTGGCGGGGGGGGGGGAAGAGAAGGGGGCAGTTACCTGTCAGGCCTCCTCAGCGCGCACGCTCCGCAGGGAGTGGAAGTTGAGAGGCTCCATCCATGCAGGGGACAGCCCGGCCCTGGGCCCGGACAGGAGGCTCCCTCGGCGGGTGGGGCTGGCCACCCTAGCCCCTCGCCATGCTCCGCAGCCCCAGGCTGGCTGGGACTCGGTCCCTCCCCAGCCCCCTCCTCTGTTTATCTCCTCCAGCTGTCTGGGGCTCAGTAAACTCCCCCAGCACTGCGCCTGCGCCACGCTAACTACGCCACCACTCCTTCCCCGCGGCAGCCCTTACGCCACGCAAACAGCGCGGATTCGCTTCTAGAATCCCCCTTCCCCCGCCTATAACGTCTATCTGCCCGCGCTCGGAGTGACAACAGCCCCGACCAAAGAGATTCTCAGCTCGGCGGGCGGTTTGAACCAATCTGCCCGCAGATGCGTCAAGAGGGGCGGGGGTTGGAGCGCCGCTGCGCCTGCTGGGAGTTGTAGTTTGTTCAAGGAGGGCCGGCGGCCCATGCTAGACTATAAGAGGAGTTGATAAGTGGTAGCCCCGCTAGGCGGCGCGGTGTAAACTGGTGCCTCCCTTCCTGTGTGCTCTCCTCCAGCTAGGCTCCTGGGCAGCCCCAGCCTCACCCTCTTAGCCCATTGGCCTGCCAGGTCCCTAGGCCATGCTGAACTTACAGCCTCTCTATCCACCCCCCTAGGTCTTCAGGCCGAGCTAAGCCCCAGTCTCCCTTTCACCTACCTACCCATCTAGGGCCCTTAGGCTTCCCTGAGTCCTGGCCTCCTCCTCCTCCCACTAGACATGTTTCCTTAGGCCCCTCTCTGCCCTACTGTCCTGCCGTGTGTCACAGCAGCCAGGGAGCTCCAAATCCCCATCTCATGCTGTAGTTTTCCGTGGCACTTGGTCTGCTTGGAACTCCGTCTCAGAGGTGCCATGCCTGCCAGGCTTCTTCTCAAGCCAGAGTCCTGCTCTAACCCATTATGGTTTCCAAGTGTCCCGAAAGCCCAGTCTCACCTGTTAACATGTTACAGGGTCATTCTCTTCCTGAGCCCCAGCCTTGTGTTCCAGCCCAACGGTGCTGTGTCTTGTCTCCCTTCGGCCTACTCTAGAGCATAGGGTGTTCTGAATCTCCGGCTTGTAGTATTCACTATATCCACCTTCTGCTGAAACACCTCAAGGAGCAACCTCAAACCACCTAGAGTCCAGTGAGGTAAGTGGACATGTCCAAGTCTTGTCCGGAAAACCCAAATGCCTAAATTTGACTATCTGGTCTGCATACCAAACTGTCCTAGAAATCAAATGAGGAACCTGGTCTTATCTTAGGAAGCTCCAGGCTTGGACCTTTTTGCTGTGTTAAAGTATTTTTTCCAGGTGGTGGCACTGTTTGCAAAAATGCTCCTTCGCTTCATCATTCAAACACAGATCCCTGCAGTTCTGAGAGAACTAAACATTGCTCTTTGTTTTACCAACTAACAGAGATTTTTTTGTGCCCCACTTTTCAGATCTGAGTCATGGGGCGGGAAGTACAATGCTGATTATGGCTTGTCATGGTTAAGTCACAATCGACTCATTAGAAAGATGCAAAAATTTATAGTTACTAAAATTCCAAGAATCACTAGACTCCATTTAAAATCAAAATATCCTTTATTTTGCAATTAAATATTTTAAACCCTTTACTAATATTTAATAGTTTAAGGTGCATTTAAAACCACAATCCCATGCCTCCAGCTTCAACCCTGGCAGCATTGCAGGAGAAAACTGCTTCTGCCTTCTCCAACTTCTGCAGAAGGAGCAGCAGCCTCTTAAAACAGCTACTATATGTAAGCTCCATGAGTGTGTGTCCCCCTCTCCCCCCCCACACACACTGAAACCCAGAGAACCAATGACCAACTACTACCTCTAATTGTGCAATCTCTCGTTATCTTTTTTGGCTTCCTCTTGTGGTATTTCTCAATGAAAATGGTGATAATATCACCATCACATCTATCCATTTTCTTGAGAAGGTCCCACAGGACACAACTGACTTTCTCCAGAAACTCTGCAAGATTAACAACCTCCCTCAGAATACTGTCCTTGCCACCATGGATGTCCCCTCCCTATACCCCAATATCCCTCACAATGGCAGCATCGCTGCCTGCCTCAAATATCTACAAGACAATGGACAACACTCAGATATCCACCCCAAAAACAATTGCTAAACTCATCCATTTCATCCTCATCCATAATAATTTTATATTCAACAACAAACACTTTGCCCAAACCATTGGATGGGTACTAGGATGGCTCCCCAATATGCCAACAACTTTGTGGGATATCTTGAGGAAGAATTTCTGGACAAATTCACCATGAAACCAATGATATACCTGAGATACATCAATGATATTTTCATCCTCTGGAACAGATGACCTAAACTCCCACATAGATTTCCACCACAACTTCAACAACCACCTCCCATCCATCAAACTCCCTGTAGAACAGTGTTTCTCAATGACCGGTCTGTGAACAGGAGTGGGTCCCTGAGCTATCTCTGACACAGTTAGGAAGGCAGCAAGCCAGTCCCTGGTATCAAAAAGGTTGAGAAACACTGCTCTAGAAGATTCCCACACCAGCATCAACTTGCTGGACACCACAATCTGTTTCAGCAATGGAACCCTACAGACAACTATATAGAAGAAACCTATGGATCATCACAGATCCAGTAACCACCCCAAACACACCAAGAAATCTGTTATCTACAGCCAAGCACTCAGATACCACAGAATATGTCCTGAGGAGAAAGTCTGGGCTACATCCCCTAATACACTTACAACCACTTTCACCAAACAAGGATACACCACCAGAGTAGATCACCTCATTGATCTCAAATGCCAGCGAGAGAACCTGCTTCAATACAGGAAAAAAAAAAACCCTGACCGCACATCCCTTGTTTTTACCTACCACCCCACACTTGAACCCATACAGGATATCATTAAACAATTATAAACCATACTCAATGAGGACCACATGCTGAAATAAATCTTTCCCAAATCCCCTCTTCTGGCCTTCAAACAACCCCTCCAGCCTTGCCAAGCTCATCATCAGAAGCAAGCTCCGGCAGACCAGGACACACCAACTCAAACCAGCACCTGCTCCTGCCAGAAAAACAGATGCAAAACCTATAGACATATCTCCACTGCTGCAATGGGGCTTACTCATGCCTATCATAACATAACACTAAAATTCTTCCATTTTACAACACTCAAATGAAAATAGTTAGACCTTTATCACATCATTTAACTTAAATGTTCAATAAACACCCAGTTCCTTGTCTCCCACTCTTTCTTTAATAATAAAAAGCCAAAAACTTTGGGTAATAACACACCACTTGAAATTGGGACTGTAAACAACAAAATTCAGGAATTTCAAAGCTACATTCTCTATTGCAGTGTTAAGTAAGTGATGTTGCACATATGCATTATATGAAGACTTGTATTTATAAAATTCTGAATGTGCAAGGGCTTGAAATAATCTCATCTAGTTCATATTATATCTCATTAGGGCTTCTGTTATGGAATTATTAGAAAAACAGGTCCCATGTGATCCAGTAGCTAGTGTTCTTACATTAGAGAGAACCAAGTAGATTTATCTTCTTATCTGACTGCTTCTATGCACTGTATAAGCTCTGTAAGATCAGCTTTCTATTTTCATTATACTTTATTTTTCATTTAAATTTTTAAATTAGCCTCTATACTTAAATAATAATGCTTTACACCTGTACAACACCTTTTATTGGAGAATCTCAGTCTTTTGTGTGTTAATTAATTAAGCATCACAACACTCTGCCAGTATCAAAGTATCATTACCACCTCTGTCATGCAGAAGAAGAAACTGGAGTGGAGAAAGAGAGAGGTGAAGTGATTTGCCCAAGGTCACCTAGCAAGTTGGTTGCAGAGCTTGGAATAGAACCTGCATTCACAGGTGCTAAATATTAGCCCATGCCAATTATAATGAAATGTAAATTAAATAGTATATTTACTTCCCATATGTTTTTGCTGCACACATCAAAGGTAGAGAGGAGAAAAGCCACACCATTCCAGACTTCTTTTGGTTTGGTTTACAAGGGGATGTGGCAGAGAATCCAACAGGGAAGGAAGGCTGCATCTCATCTACTTTGCTCAGCTGATCATAAGTTACAATCAGCTGGGAGAAACAGGGAGAGGATGTAAAAAATCTCTTAAAAGGAGAGAGACAGGCATGCTAGGATATTCTTCATGAATGAAAAAAGCAGTAGGAACTGAGAAATAAATGGGTCAGATATAGGGTACAAAAACATTAATAGCTGTGTGGTCTAAGGGCCAGTGCATGGGCTAGGTAGTCAGGATTTCTGGTTTCTGTGTTCAGATGTGCCACTGCCTCATTATATGATTTAGGACAATGTAGTCTCCTATTTACCCCATCTGTGCAATGGCTATAAATAATGCTTACCTCCTCATTAATCAATGTTTGTGAAGCACTTTTAGATCCTCTGATCAAGGATCCCATAGAAGGGCAAGTTATGTTGCCAATTCCTCCAATATGGCTCCAGTGGAGCTGAATTCTGCATGAACGATGTGCAAATATAATGGAGAAAGGGCTTTGGAACTTGCATAAGGTAAGGCTATTGGCTGCTCCCATGAGTTCTAGACTGTGGGATATTAAGTGCATCTTTGTTTGGGATGCTGTGGGAGGGTCATTTGTTTGTTTGTTTTTTACTTTCTGAAAAGGAAATTAGAAGGATGACAGGCCCTAGCTTCATTGGATACTTTTAAAGGCCTGTCTGCTTGCTCCATACAGTTGTATTTCTTGATTCTTGCAGATCAAGAAGCTTAAACTGAATTAATCAGGCTTCCTCCTGGCGTGAAGGTAAATGCATGTTCTAAAATCCATAGAGGGTATCTCTGGTAGATAGTTCGACTCCCCCCATAAAATGTGAATCATGACTAACTAGTAATCTGCACTGGGACAGCTGCTGGGCCTTGATGCATGGAAGAATACCGTATGTTTCTGCACTGTAGGGGTAGCCCAGTGCTGATCAGGAGATATTGCCCAGCTACAGTTACTTTCAGTCAAGCTGATTGTGAAATGTCTGACCAAAATAGCAAAAAATTAATTTGGAGCCCACGTCCTAATTGGCAAACCTCTTGTTTTCAGAGTCTAGGGAATTTGCACCTACTTACCACTATTACTGAGTGATCTAGATAAAGTCTGGCACCCTTGTGGAGATAGAAAGATTTGACCTAG